GTCCCTGTGCACAGTATAATAAAGTGGTATTTCCCTAGTATCTTATATCAGTAAAAAAGATTTCATATACCATAGAGTTTCAAGTGAGATTTCCACAGGGAAAAAAAACTTAATACACAACAAGAGAGTCTTTTTTTAACCCCAGTTTCTTTTTGAGACAGTGTATCATTATGCAGCCCAGACAGCCTTTAACTCATGATCCTTCTGCCTCAGCCTCCCAAGTGCTGGGATCATGGGTAAGCACCATCCCAATCAGCTAAGAGTGTCTTGTAAGTTTAACTATTAGATCCTTTGTATGCTGAAACATATTATGTTGTTCTTTTTACAATGAAACCTAGGTCTTAAAGAAACATATAGTTGGGACAATAAAATGAAATACTAAATACACAACCATTATCTTAGACCTTTCAGTATGAGCTAAAGAATACTTTATGAAAAGAGGAAAATAATCAGAAATAAGGTCAAAAAGTAATTTTTATTTCTGTACTTGCTGACTTTTCATTTTTTCAATGTTTAAGAGCATAAAGACTGATTTCTAACTTGTTAGAAACTCCTTCTAATATTTCTTCACAATAGCACAATTTTGTTTTAAAAAGGAAGAAGAGAGTAGGATTCTAGAAGGTTTTCTTACAGTAGATAATCCACTAGAAACTTGAAGACACCACAGTAGCTATATAACTACAGACCCTACTATTACAGTGAACTTTTAATATATAATACCTTGCATGTATGAATTACAATAAGTAATGTTCAAAACAAGAATATCAGTTCTCAGAGATTAAATTGTATTTAACTGATGTTACATGTCAAGTATATTTGTATTTTGTGTGATATAATAAAATAAGTTCTTTGAAAACTGACCATACAAGCTGGAGAGTATATTCGCCTTTGTACTATGACCACAGACTATGTAAGTTTAGAAAATAGCTCTTCTTCTATGTATAAAACGTATGCAGTCACAAATATGTATGTATAAAACTAGATGTATGAAACAGGTAAATATTATGTGGTTTCACAAGGTTGGTCAAACGTCCAAACAAATAGCTTAATGTTATTTCCAAAGAAAACCGGGCACAAGGATGTCTGTGGAGGAAAACAAATGGTAGCACTATAAAACAAAGAAACAGAATTCTGGAAAAAAGAATACAAGAAAACTGGAAAAGAAACAAAAGGGTGCATATAGATTACAAATATTTACATTACATTACTAGGTTTCTCTAAATTGAAACTTGATTACATACTCAATTTTTTTTGATATTTCATTTTTTTAAATATTTCCAATTAATTCCAGCAGGATTATTAATATTATACAGGTAAGAACACTGTACTGTTACCTTTTTTGGTGTATTATTTAACAAGATCAAATGAAAGTTAAAAGATTATCCAATTATTCAATCTCTTAATTTTTTTCCCATTTTTCCAAGGATAAATATACTAGGCCGAAAAATTTCTGAGTTACTAACTAAACAAATGCTGTAATACTGTATTTTAAAATAGTACAAAGAAAATTGGAATAAAGCTAAATGGGTCTTGACAAACTGAATACATTTAATCCCTAAAATCATGCATACCATGCAAAAAAATTCCACCATTTACATAACTGACCAGATTGTCTGCCAATAACCAAATAAAGTACCAGTTTTCTGGAAAAGTATATGAAATATTTAAATGTTCTCGTACAAATGCTTCAATCTATATAGAAAATGTCATCATGTACTTAGCCTTATTACTTTTATATTCACATTTATATGGCGTATATAATTCTATATACACTTGACATAATATGTATTATAGTAATTTATAAGAAACACTTACTGGGTAAATTTTTTGGAGGGATGGAAGGATGGGTTCAGGTAGGGCTATAAAAAGAAAAAGTTTAAAGCTTCTGTGATTCACATGATTCATTTTACAATGCAATAATTTGTTAACTACACCCCAAGTATGAGACTACAAGGGTTTATGCTAAAATTCAACAATTTTCAAATATTCTGGGAAATCTGACCCTTAAAAATTTTAAATATTTTTAAGTTGACATTGTAATGTTTTGTTAAAAAACTATGTACTACACTATGTAAATCAATGGTTTTTATAGGGTTTCAGAATAAAAGGCCATTAATAAAGGGAGAAAAGTTATTTGATCCAACATCAGACACATACACACAACACACACACACACAA